AGATAAGGAAAGAATCTTAAAAGAAGCCAGAGGTCAAAGCACCTCATCTGTAGAGGAGCAAATAGAGGAATTACATCTCACTTCTCTTTGGAAACCACTGAAGCAAGTAGAGTAAAATATTTGATATTGAGAGAACTCTATACCCTGCAAAAGTATCCTTGAAAACTGAAAGAGAAAGAAAGACTTTCTCAGGCTAACAAAAATTAAAGGAGCTTTCTGCCAATGGACCTCCCTTGCAAGAAATGTTAAGAGAAGCTTTTTAGAGAGAGAGAGAAGGGAAATGCAGATATTTGGATCTACGTAAAGGAAGAGCAGCAGAGAATGATTAAGTAAAGGTAAAACAAAAATTTTTATTTTTCTTAATCTTTTTCTTTTTTCTAAAAGAGAGAGAGAGCGTGTGTGTGCAGTGGGGAGGGACGGGGGGAGAGGGAGAGAAAATCTTAAGCAGGCCCCGTGACCAGCGTGGAGCCCAACTTGGGGCTGGACGTGGCACTTGATCTCATGACTCTGAGACTGTGATCTGAGCCAAAGTCAAAGTTGGACTCTTAGCCAACTGAGTCACCCAGGTGACCCTTATTTTTCTTACTCTTAAATGATCTAGAAGAAAATAGTTCCTTCAAAATGATACTAGTAACTATGGATTCAGTTATGTATGCTGATAGGTAGTTGGATAGATACCTTTATTTATGCTTATGAATAAGTGAAATGAATAATAATATGGACACAATGGCTGAGAGGGAGGAGTTGGGATTATTTATTATTTGTCATTATTCACACTACACCTGAAGCACAATAGCGTTATTTGAAAGTGGGCTTGGATTAGTTAAAAAAAAGTGCAACATATGTTTAAGAAGGAGAGAAAATACAATCATATAAAGTGCTAAGTTAAATCCAGAAAAGGCAGAAAGAGAAGGAAACAAAAATAGGAACAAAGAACAAAGGCAACAAGTAGAAAAGAGCAACAAATATGGTAGATAGAAATCCCATTATATCAGTAATCACTTATTTGTTTTAAAGATTCATTTATTTATTTTAGAGAGAGAGCGCGTGTGTACGCACAAGTTGGGGGAGGGGCAGAGGGAGAGAATCTTCAAGCAGACTCCCCACTAAGCGTGGAGCCTGATGCGGGTCTCAATCTCACCACCCTGAGATCATGACCTGAGCCAAAACCAAGAGTTGGACGCCTAACTGACTGAGCCACCCAGGCACCCTTCAATAATCACTTTAAATGTTAATGGTCTAAAAGACAGAAGTAGAGTGGATCAGAACTTAAGACCCAGCAATGTATTGTCTACGAGAAACCCACTTTAAATATAAAACATGTATATATTAAAAGTAAGTGGATGGAGAAAAATATATCATTCTAACACTGAAAGCAGGACTAGCTATATTACTTTCAGAGTAGACTTCAAAGCAAAGAACAATATCCAAGATAAAGGAGGTAATTACATAACGATAAATGGGTCAGTTCTCCAAGAAGATATAATAATCCTCAATGTGTATTCACCAACAACAGAGTTTTAGAGTACATGAGGCAAAAACCGATGGAACTGCAAGAAGAAATACATGAATTCACTCTTACAGTTGGAGAATTCAACATCTCCTATTGGAAGCGGACAGATCCATGAGGCAAAAAATCAGTAAGGACGTAGTTGAACTCAGTGCCATCAATCAACTGGGTACAGTTGGTATCTATTGACTACTTTATCCAACAATGGCACAATACTCATTCTTCTCAAGTCCCCATGGAATATTTACCAATATGGAGCACAATCCCTGCCATTAAACCCACTGTGACACATGTAAAGGAATAGAAATCATACAGTGTTTTCTCTCAGACCATAGTGGAATTAAACCAGAAATCAGTAACAGAAACATAGCCGGAAAATCCACAGATACTTGGAGATACACAACAGCCTCCTAAAAAAGACATCGGTCAAAAAACGAGTCTCAAGAGAAATTTTAAAACATTTTGAACTTCAATAAAAATGCAAACACACTGATCAGAATTTGTGGGATGCAGAAAAGTGGTGCTTGGAGGGACACTCAAGGCATTGAATGCATATATTAGAAAGTAAGGAAGTACTGAAATCAGTCTGAACTCCCATATACAGAACCTAGAAAGAGAATAGCATATTAAATCCAAAGTAAGCAGAAGAAAAAAACTAATAAAAATTTGAGCAGAAATCAGTTACATTGAAAATGAGAAATAGAGAAAGTCCAAGAAACCACGAGTTGGTTCTCTGAAAAAAAATCAATAAAACTGAGAAAGCTCTAGCCAGGCTAACTAAGGGGAAAAGAGAGAGGACACAAATCACTAATATGAAATAAGGGACATCGCTCCAGATCCCACAGAAGTTAGAAAGATAACAGAAGAATACAAGGAACAATTCTGTGCCTACAAGTTTGACAACCCACATGAAATGACAATGTGGTATTGGCAAAAGAATAGATAACCAGATCAATAAACAGAATTGAGAGCCCCAAAATAAATCCAAATAGGTATAGTGAACTGATCTTTGACAAAGAAGTAAACAGTGCGATGAAGAAAAGATCATCTTTTCAACAAATGGTGGTAGAACAAGCGGGCATCCACATGCATAAATATATAGCCATACGGTATTTATCTTTCTCTGAATGACTTATTTCACTTTGCATAATACTTTCTGGGTCCAGCCATGTTGTTGCAAATGGCAAGATTTCATTCTTTCTTATGGCTGAATAATATCCCTTTGTGTATATATTCCATACCTTCTTTATCCATTCAGCTATCAGTGGACTGCTTCCATAGCTTGGCGGTTGTAAATAATGCTGCAAAAACATAGGGGTGTACGTATCTTTTCAAATTAGTGTTTTTGTTTTTTGGGATGAATACGTAGTAGTGGAACTGTTGGGTTTTATGGTATTTCTATTTTTCATTTTTTGAGGAAACTCCATACTGTTTTCCACAGTGGCTGCACCAATTTACCCTCCCACCAACGGTGTACAAGGGTTCCCACCCCTCTACGTCTTCACCAGCACTTGTTATTTCTTGTGTTTTTGATTTTAGCCATTCTGATGGGTGTGAGGTGACATTTCACTGTGGGTTTGATTTGCGTTTCCCTGGTGATGAGCGATGTGGAGCATCTTTGCATGTGTCTGTTGGCCGTCTGGATGTCTTCCTTGGAAAAGTGTCTATCCGGGTTCTCTGCCCTTCTGTAAATGAGGCTATTAAAGCTCAAAACAATGAAATTACTTAGTCCAAGATCACCTAACTATTAAGCAGTGGTATAAGATTTTGAATCCAGATTTTTCCAGAGAGGAGACCTGTAAGGACCTAACACCCATGAGTACAGGTTTTCTGGGCAATTATGGTGTGTCTTCTATGTGCAAAGCACACTGATAGATATTAGGACAAGTGAGAAGGAGATTGTGTCCTTAGATTAAACTCTGCAAAAGAAACAAACAGAAAGAAAGAAGCATGCTAAAGAGAGCTAGAGTGGAATATAAAATTCACAGGTGTTTCACGTGCCGAGTGGGACAAGTGTTGACAAAGTGGGTCCTGCCCAGACCGGCTGCCACACCACTGTTGGGCTCTGACCTCAAAGAGAGAGAGCTGAGGAAGCCATCCTGGGCCACGGGGGTCAGGAGGCAGCCCCGAGTAGGTTGTGTGAGAATGTGCAGAGATAGAGGACCTCACATTGGCCAACTGGGTGGGCGAGGGTCTGTATTTAAAATAATGTAATTCACCAAAGCTAATGGAGGAGAGGGTCTTGACCACACCTGGTAAGTCTGAAGTGTCAGCAGGCTGGAAACACAACCAACGCTCAAGAGAGAGGGGATTGGAGCTGCAATTTGGATTCATCCCCAGATGGATGATTGTGAACGCTTCAAGGTCTCTGACAGAGAAAAAAATAAGTGAAGGAATGAATCCTAGGGCTATGTCTGAGTAGGAAGGGCTGCGGGTAAGAAGAAAGCAGAGCCCCTGCAGGGAGAAGGGGCTGTGTATACTGGGGCATGGGGTCCAGGGGATGACATTGACCACTCGGCTAATGTGAAAACCAGTAGCCACGAAGCCATGAGTTTTTCTGCTTAGAATTATAAGAGTCAGTTTTTATCTTGGAGCTTGTTTGGATTAGTTTATTTTTAAAAAATTTGTAGGCGAATGTTTTTTTTTTATCGCTTTTATGGCTGCATACATCACAATTAAGCATATTTTGGTCGTGAGCACGTTAAGAAAGACTATAGAGGCAAAGAAGGGAGAATGGGAATCTGACAGAGTGCTGAAGTTCAAAGCTGGGGGCCCTTATTTAGGCCCCAGTAAATGCTCACGTTTCCATTGTAGAGGGAGGTCTGGAGGTAGAGCAGATCTTGGGCTGGCGCGGAAGCCTGTGGAAGATACAGCCCAGGTTAACGCTAAGATGGTGCTTTTCAAAAGGGGTCCCGGTCTGGGGGACGGGCGGCAGCACGTAGCACGTGGGAACATGTCATCACAGCACATTCTCGGGCCCCATCCCATACTGAGTGAGTCAGAGGCCCCGGGGGTGGGACCAACAGAAGCCACTCGAGCACTGATGTCCGATATCCAAAAACCCGCTTCGAGAGGTGCGGAAGTTAAACAGGACTTACTGTTACTCCAAGCAGTTTGCTTATTTAAACTCCCTCTTGTAAAGGTGCCATGAAGAATGAGACCGGTTCTTTGAAAGTCACAGTTAATTAACTTCTTTCTGTGGTTCCTTAGAATTAATTAAATCAAATGATTGCAGATTGGACTTTTGTAGAAGGCCCCCCGGATGGAACAGTTAGTGAAAAATCACAGTATTGCCACTCATAAAATATTTAAATAATGCCAGCTTCATTTCAGGACAAAAGTAGGAGTGCTTCATGTTGTTTAAATTGTCACTTTCCTACTGTCATTCACAGGAGAGGGAATAAAACATATACCATGAAGCTGGCTACCTAATTAAATGCGTTATATATTTATGCACACTGCTAATATAAAACATTTTTCTGCCTTGCAGGCCCGAACTGCTTTGCGGAAACAACTGTCATCCCCGCTGGAAGAGAAGTCAAGACTGACGAATGTACCATATGTCATTGTACTTACGAGGAAGGCACGTGGAGGATCGAGAGACAGGCCATGTGCACAAGGCATGAGTGCAGGCAAATGTAGAAACGGGACCACACACACACACACAAAAACAAAAACAAAAAAAACGGACGTTTTTCTAGAACATTTTACTGACGGGAACATTCTAGATGACTCTGGGGAATAGCATTCAACAGAAGACTTTTGATGAGGAATACGGAACATGGTTGGTACTTTTGCGTTTCTTGCTAACAGTTACTGCAAAAGAAGGAAATGGGTATATTTCAAAACATCCACAAGAACTTTGGGCATAACCCCCCCCTAAATAAATGTGCTATTTTCACAGTAAGTACACCGAAGGACACTATTCTATATTAAATGTATTTCTATAATCCCTCTATTAGCTTATATAAATGTTTTCTATAGATACAGATTAAAAATGCCGTGTTGTCAACCATGCTCACTGTGTACCCGCATATCGTCTTCAGTCCCCAATTCCCTCACACGAGCCTAGTGGTGGCTACTTGATTCTGCTTCACATCTTGGAACAGTGCACCCAAGGAAATACTGAAATCCTGCCCCCGTGGTGTCTCATTCCAGAGACAGATCTCGTGTCTGTCCTTACGAGATTCGGTCTCCTTCACACAAATACGTTTCCTTCTCGTAATGACTCCCTGCTTTGATCGTCTCCGTTCTCGGTCATGTGGGAGATGCAGGTACAAAGTTAAGCAGCACATGTTTTTTCTGTGTATTCGAGGCTCCTGTGTTGGGGGCCATAGATGGACACATCTGTAGAGTTTATTCTCACGCACATTACTTTCTCTTCTGAGCATGCCTTTAAATCATCTCGTAAGCCAAGCAACAGGGTAGGTTGGAACGTTTGCACTGTTGTTTCATCAAGCTGAAGCATGCAGTGAAATAGGGGAATTTCTTGACTCTCTGGAGCAGAGTGGAGGAAAACCCAAGCCCCAAACAAGTCTCTACCTGGAGTCTAGATGCAGTGCAGAGAACCACCCCCACCCCCACCGTCCACTCAGTGGATGCATGTTTCTTACCGGAACGATCAACTACCCTCCGTAAGAGACAGAGTAGAATTTGAAAGATCGCCCTGTATTAGCCATCCTTCTGGAACAGAGTGAGCAGCATCCCAGCCAGTATGTGAACACAGACAGTGCCAAAAGCCATGTGTGCTCGGCTACTTTTGTGTAGTTACCTGTCATCCCAAACGGATTTTATTTCCCCTCATTTGGACAGGGAATAAAAGAAGCCACTGCAAATCCTCATCCTTGAGCAATGCATATTAGAGAATAGTTCTGCCTTTAGCAATCACATTGACTCCTGGCACACTGCTGAGAAAGGTAGTCAGTCTTAATAGGCGTACAGTGAAAAAATAATGATAGTCATTAACTGAATCTTTAAAGGTTCTTTCCCCATATTTTTATTTACTCCAAAATTTTGAATTAAGCACCTATTAGGCACAAATCATTTGATGACAAAAAAGGGAATAAAGCATGGTTTCTTGACTTCATGAGCTTTTGGCCCTACACCTAACACGAGTAAGAAATTACAGTGCATTGTGGCAGGAGGTCAATTCAAGGTTGACAAAGGGAAGTTCTTTCCTGAAAAGAGCAGAGAATACCAAAATATCATCCAGTATCTAAGAAATCAAGCATTAAAGGTTGACTAATCAAGAAAAATTGATATATTTGTCATTATTGAAAACGTGAACCACTGTGTACCTTAATAAATGTACAGCCAGCACTAACTGAAGCCTCCAGAACTTTACATATGCTTACATTTAATTTGAATCTTGGTTATCAAGAACCACCTTGGGCCAAATGGGCTCCATGCACATAGATTTTCAAGAAAATGCTCAGGGAAAGTATTAGCTAGTTACTTTCCAAAACTTAACCTTTGGTACTAAAGGCTACTAGACATTGGCCATCATCACTCTATTATCCAAAGGGAGATTTTTTTTTTTTTTGAGACAAGGTTATATACGTTATGGTTTTGCCAACAGTGGGCTCGAATCCCCATGGGGAGGTGGGTCATTAGCTATCGCTAACAGTCCACAAAGCCGCCTCTTCTCTCCCCAGCAAACATGCTGCAGTGAGAGACTCAGAGGCCCAGAGTCTCCCTGCCTCCCTTGGTGATGTAAGTCCCTCCCTGCATGGGTGGTGAGCTCTGCAGTAATTGCAGTGGGACCTATGAGAATTTCAGGAAACCCGGGACTTTGGTCATATACAGAGAGAGTGAACAGGAGAGCATCTTGGGAAACAGACTTTCACTTGCTCTAAACGAGTGTGACCCATAACATACCCCAGGCACAGTCCGGAGCTGGAACACAAGGGCTGTTCTTACACTAAAGTAACTCCCTGTCCTTCTCTGGTTCCAAGCCTTCATTCCTCTTTCCACGTAAGAACACTGTGTAAACCACACCCATATGGCCGAACTTGGGTTAAGGACACTGCATATCCTTAAGGTAGAGTGATGCTATTTGCACTTTTGTCTAAGAGAGACTTGTTCTTCTTCATGAAGAACTTGCCATGAATGTAGAGTTTCATGTCTATAAGGTTGTAGCACGTTGAAATTTTCATTTTCCTCTTCTTTTTTTCCCCATAGAGTATTTTGCAGAGATTTTTAACAACGAAACTGTTCTATTCATTCAGACTTAATAACTGCATTATAAAAAGAGGAAAATACATGTCCAAGTTATTCGATTGCAAAATATTCTGGTTTGGACAGAGTCCTGAAAAAGGAGCCTCAAAGTTCACATACAGACGTGTTTGGAGAGCCATAATTCTTAATCTTCCAATCGGTCTGCTCCATGAGTCCCTATAATTGTTGCCACATGACTTCTTCAGGTTGAAAAAGGAAATCATACTTACAGAGGTAGCACATGCACTTATTTCAAATATTCAACCTATAAATCTGCCCATACGAAGCAATGTGTATTAAGCAACAGGACGATTCTGGAAATTATCTAATCTGACGTTTTAGACTTTCAAGTGAGATTTGTTCCTTCAGTCACAGGATATTTCCTGTGTCGTTGCGTGGATCTGTCAGTCCTTTTACATTTCACGGAAGTCTTCGGTAATTTCAAAACCTTGAGTTTTATTCCTGCACGCAGCACGCCTTAGATGTGTCCCCGCCATGCGCCACACGGAGCTGCAGCTCCAACCGATGCGGAGGCGAGAGCATCCTTGACAGCAAGGAGATTACGTGCCTCGAAGCTATCTGACATCTCAGTATTTTTCTTTCAACTTTTTGATACTTTCAATTTCTTCATCTCCTTTGTACAGTAAAACAGGTTTAAGAGATAGTCTTACACATTTAAAAATTTTTAGCATCACGATTATGTTTAAGAAAGTCTCCTCTCTCTTCCCCCAACACAAACGTTGTATGTTTACAATGTTTAAAAAAAAATCCAAACAATTTCAGAGAATTCAGGTGTCTTCTATTTTGTTTTTTGTTTTGATTTTAAGCAGTGAAAGCGGTGAAAGTGAAAGATTTTAAAGTGAAAAGTTTAGTGCATCCATTATTTAAAATGTGCACAATATATTAACTAGCTCAACCGAAAATTGAAAACTATCCATTTTTTAAAATATAGATAGAAAACAGAATTATAGACACAAGTCAAATTTAACAAATATCAACAGTTTACTATATTTGTTTTAATAGGCAAGACATCAAGTCTGCTTTTACTGATTTTTAAAAAAATCAGATGCTTTTCTGCAATGCAGTGTAATAAGGAGAGGTGAGGGGTGCCTGGGTGGCTCAGTAGAGTGTGTGACTCTTGACCTCGGGGTCATGAGTTTGAGCCCCACGTTGGGGGTTAAAAGAGAAAACTCTTTTAAGAGTTTACTTAAAAAACAATTAAGGAAAGGTGATTAGGTGCCATCTCATCCATGTAATGAGGCCAGACAGGCACCTATGGTTCTAGGATCTGGGCTTCGTTGACAACATATTGTCATTACTAGACTTACCCCCACAGTCCCCTGTTCCCACTAGCAGCCTCTGTGGATGGCTGGTGTGGTCACTCTTCCTGAGTACTCAGATTCAGAGAGAGCAATCACTTCTTCTGGAATAAACGAGGGTTTACAGCTCATATGTTCTATGAGCCAGAGGCCACTTCTCACTGTTCCACGTAGAGCTGGTTCATCCTTCCCATTCCCACCAGCCTCCGAAGTCTACCAGTTTAGTTTCCTGAACACAGATGGTGTCTTTGACTGAATGAATATGGGGCAAGGTCGAAGCCCACACCCTGCCCGGGTCTCCTATTGGCCATGACAGTCTCAGGCTTTGGGTGCCTCCGACCACGCTTTGAACGTGGTCTCTGCTTCCCAACTCCCTGCTTTTTCAGCACTTGGAGATATTCACCATTTTTCAATCTCCAGCTCAAGTGCCGTTGCTTCTGAGGAAGCTTCTTTAGTCCTATGTGGACTGTCGCGCTGGGCCCTTGCCATAGTGTCCATTTGGTATTTTACGCTAGCATGATTTAGAGGTCATATCATACTTGGCGTTACAGTTCAGTTTATCTGTTTGCTCTACTATTCATGCTAAAATCTCTTTATTTCAGGCTATGGAACATTCGGTCCCTAGAATATCTTCCAATACCTTTATGCTGAAGGCTTGTTGAATTGTATTCAATGTATTAATTCAGAGGTTTTTTTTTTTTTTTTTTTTTTTTTTTTTGCTGTCCATGTTTAAGGCCAACGACCATCTTGAAGAGCAGCTCAAAACTTCCATGACTGTTTGCCCGACCTGTTGTCTCCTGCTTTCTCAGCTGACTTGCAAACCTCAATGTCCAGGGTTCAGCAGCCCAAAACATAGCAAATCCCCACCACTGCAGAGTTTATAGCAAACAGCCCTTAGACAGGCACTGGCTATTTCTGATACAAGTCAGGAAACACATGGCTTTTGGTGTCAAATTTCTGATGCTGAAAATAATTTCTTATGTTGAGGAGACACTGGTTCTTAGTGATGATAAGACAAGTCAAGTTTATAGCTTTGGTCTTTACAGTATTTATTTACTTAGTTCTGACTTCAGAATATAAATTTCTTGTCTTAGACTTTCACAGACCAGTATGTATGCATGTTTTCATCTTTTTACATAACATAAGTACTCAATAGGTATCTAGTAAAGTAATAAATCAATGAACTCAAGTCATTTCTGTAGGAACACACATTTCCACAGGCTGTTGGGAAAGTGTTAGAAGGTGGTGGTTGTCTACATTTCACCACATGTCCAAGTTCACTCTGAGTTTTGCAGAACACCTGGTTTTTGTTTTTTGGGTTTTTTTTTTTTTGCACCTGTTTTAACTTTAACACAAAAATATAGAGATTAAGTCCAAACA